CCTTTTGTTCTTCATATATTTATTGTGATGGTGTGGCGACCAAGGCCCGAAATGGTGCTACCCATGGCGGTTTTTTGGGCTCGGGCTGCATTCGTGATTGTGGCGGTCTTCAATGAAAACCCTAACCCCTCGCCCCCTCCTCTGCTTCTTCGGCCGGGCTGCTACTGACAGCCTAAGACAATGCTATCGCCATCAGGTAAGCTGTGTTAAGCAATGATACCTTTCTCTAGTTCTACAACTCCCTCCCATCCACCCTTTACCCAACCACTGAACTTTCTCACCCTTGTCACTTGCTTTTTAATCAGTGAGTTAAAGTGAAATTGCCCAGTTCATGAACTGGACAGTCATTTTGCCCAGTTCATGGAATGGGTTCCCAACCTAAACCAACTCGACCTAACCTAACCTAACCAAACCTAATTTAAACTAACTTAGTTTAGCCTAACCTAGCCAACCATAACTAGGCTAGATTAGGAGTCCATTAAACGAACTAGCAAAAGGACCTAAACTAACTCAACCTAAACTAACCCAACAAGATTTAGGTTTGCTAGGTTACGTTAGGTAAGGTTAGGCTGATTTAAAATAAGTTGAGTTGGGTTAGTTTGTGAGCCCTTTTCACGAACTGGGCAAAATGACTGCCCAGCCCATGAACTGGGTAATTTCTCAGTACATACCAGGGTATTAACATAAGAACATAAGAATGGAGGAAACTGCAGCAGGCCTATTGGCCCATACTGGGCAGTCCCATTTACGCCCAACCCCTATGTTTAAAGCTATCCAGCGTAATTGAGTTAATGATGATGTTTGGTAACTTGTTCCACTAATCCACTACACTATTTCCAAACCAATATTAAATTTGTCTAATTTAAAACTATTGCTACGAGTTCGCTCCTGGTTGGATAATTTGAGTACCTTTGTTATATTACTTTGTTTAGCCCTGACTTCCATTTATACACCTCGATCATATCGTCCCTCACTCTACATCTCTCGAGGTGCAAATTAAGATGCTTTAACCTGTCTCTGTACTCCAGGTTCCTAATGCCCGAGATTAGTCTTGTCATTCTCCTCTGAATTCTTTCTATGGATTCTATATCCATTCTATAGTACGGTGACCAGAATTGAGCTGCGTAATCCAAGCTGAGGTCTCACAAGCGCAAGATATAGTTTTAGGATAATCTCGCTAGTCTTGTGACTGAACTCCTTTGTATGGATACAAGTACTTTGTTAGCCTTGTTTCGTACAAATACGCATTGTTGACCTGGTTTAAGGTTCCTATTTATCATTACTCCTAAATCTTTCTCACAGTCGGATTTCTCTATAACATTAATGCAGTTTCACTCCCAATTGGGTTAGATCAATTTTGGGCTCACCAGAAGTTGTCTCGTCAATTGCAACAACTTTTTCTAATACCACTTCTGTTGCAAATGGATGATAAATGAGATGGTAAATTCACTTAGGAAATTTACGTAAATCTGCAGTCACCGCGTATCTTCTGTTTGTTTACAACTGACCCGTAAAATTACACCATGATGTTAGACAAAGTTGGTTTCATTGGTACCATATATTAAAATAAGTATTTTCCGTATAATATGGCGCGGGGGGGTGGGGAGGGGCGGAGCCCCATGGCTAGGAAGTTAAGTAAGGTTAGGTCAGGTTCTGCAGAAAGGGGGGGGGGGTAATAACTAAAAAACGACTCATTTCCGTCTGAAATGAAGGTCAGATTCGAAGGAATCACACCAAATAACACAGGCAAAACATAGATTTCTGGCCAAAAATCAATTGGTACTAAACTACAATTTTACCCAAACCAGAGTTCTGATTTCTTCCATTTAATTTCTCATACTTCTACTGTCCACGTTTTGGGTTTAACGCTCTGACTAATTTAGCTTTATCGTCATTTCTAGCACGATTTCTATGTAACCTTTCGTTATATATACCCATGTCAACTGCCCTCTCCTTGACCCCCGTGCTCTCATGTTCCCTTAGCAGTTTAAAGACTTCGACATCTTTTCAACTACCCTCCCGAGAGAGCCAGCCGGGATGCCACTCCGTCACTAGATAAATGCACCCTGTCCCTTGCATACAGTCTCTTCTGCCGTAGAAGTTTCGCAGTTGTCAATGAATGGGACTGATATTGACTTGCAATACCAGTCAAGATGGCTGTTGTCACCAACTGCCCTTAACAATCATTCACTAACAACTCTCCTTCTAGGCAGGACACCACTTACGATAGGGATCTCTCCCTTCATCCTTGTCCGGTCAATAGCTTCCTTGAACTTATCAAGGAGCTTTTCACTTCTACACCGGCCAATATCGGTGCCTTCTGCACCGAGGCAAAAAATGGGTTTGTTCCCATTACAATATATGATATTGTCCATCCTGTCTACTAAGTCACCCACCCCAGCTCCTTGGCAAACACACTCTTATTTTCCTGTTTATGAACTTATTAAAAATGGTACGATCTAGGCACCTTACCTGCGAATCACCAACAATTACAGTTTTCTTACATTCTACAGTATGTCCGCCTCGCCCTTAACTGTCTTACCACCCATTTCGTCCTCTGAAGGACTAAATGCGTTTGTACTGTACATAAGGTGATATTTTGGCCTTCTCCACTACCAGCCATGTCGCCCCTCTCTTCGCTATATATATATATATATATATATATATATATATATATATATATATATATATATATATATATATATATATATATATATATATATATATATATATATATATATATATATATATATATATATACACACAGGGGGATTAACCGGCTGATAACTGCTGAGTTTTCTTAAAATAACCAGTTGTTTATGATATTAAACCGATTTCCATATTCTCGAATGTTTGTTGTTGCAATACTCTTGAATGGTTTCATTCTTCAGGTGCGAGGCGTATTTTGGAAAACCTTTCCCTCTTATATCGGTGGCCAGTGAGTGAAGCTCGAATGTCATTGTTAAGTAAATACACTCTATCCGAAATAAAATTTCTTCCTATAATTCTGTAAAGGCCAGATAAACCCTCCTATGATACTAACATACAACACATTACTAGTGAAGTGGATAACAGGAGTCAACACTAGTAAACAAATACAGAATTCAGTCCTACATGACATGGTATTATAAAACTTCAAAAACACGAAATTGTGCATTTTTAGTGATCTTTGACCTCAGTAAATTGGTATAAATGTGTTGGGCCGACGTCTTGGTATATTTGTGCCAATCTTCATCTAAATTGGTGGAAACTTGACCGAACAATTGTTAAATACTTTTTGGGGTGGTTTGACCTTTGACCCTATAAAATCCATTTTGACCATCAAAATAAACAGGTCTGTCAAGTTTCAATTTAACTGCCTTAAAATTGAAAGAATGACGTTTGATTTTTACTTGTTTTACACGAAAAAGGAAAGAACAGTTCTCCCTCATGCAAGGAAAATAATAATTACTACTACTACTACTACTACTACTACTTTTTTTTTTATAGTGGCCTCCAGCCTCCCCCAATAGCCACACCTTCTCCGCCATTTTATTACCTTAATATTAAATATCCTACTACTACTACTACTACTACTATTACTACTACTACTACTAATGATGATGATGATGATGATAATAATACTGCATTTCGACAACTGTTAAAGTTGAGGAGAGACAGACATTAAAATGTTGGAGAAATTGATAGGTTAAGACAGGATGTAAACGAAAACCTTAGAATGGCATTTCCAGGAGAGGATGGAATCAAAGTGGAAATGTTAAGGATAGGTAGGAAAATGGCAATAAAAGTCAAGCGTGAACAGGTTAGGCATAAAAGATGGAAGAAACACTAAAAGAATGGCTGAGCATGTATAGTTCTTACATATAGAAGGAATTCCTAGAGTAATGTGGGAGTTATTATACATGATATTTTTGCAGTAATGGGGTAATTGTAAAAGGATGTTCAAATTTTTACTGGGAGAGCGATGTATTTGTCAGAGTGTCTCGGGAAGAGAGAACTGGTTACTAGTGAACTCAAGTCTAAGTAAAGGATGTGCAATGTCACCAATTTTCAATATTTTCATGGCTGAGGCAAACAAAAATACAAGATGCAATGGGAAATAAGTCAGCTGCTGTAATTTGATAACACTGCTTTGGTAGGCGATTGAGACGAAAAATTACAAATGTTAGTGAATGAGTTCCGAAGTGTGTATGGCTACGAGGACAATCTTAATTGCGAATGTGAACAAAAGTAAAAATGGTGAAAATAAGTAGAGTAAGGAGACTTAAGTTTGAATATACAGTATATACAGAATGGAAGAATTGAGAAGTTTCAGAGATCCTGGAATGGATGTGTTAGTGAAGGAACGGGTGTTGATTAAAAAGCAGTAAATGGAAATGAAATATATTTTGTACTGAAATTTTTTTAGAGAAAGAGAATTGTCAAAGAAAGCATAATTGGGAGTGTATAGAGATGTTAAGCCTACGTCACTCTTGAGTGTGAAACTGGAAACGAAGAAATTAGACGAAGATGAAGTTAGCTTTATAAGTGCCGGAGAAGAGAGCTGACCAGGATGTGTTAATATGATATAAACATAGCCGACTGATTTAATGAAAAGTGAAAAATGGTATAGTGTATAATTCAGAAGTAGATAATAGAAAGGGGCTGGGAAGACCAACTAGGGTGGAAGGATTGAATAAAGGAGGTACTAAAAGTGAGAAGGATTGATTTAAGGAGCAGAGGTGGATGTGAATGATTGGAAAGTATAGTGCTGAGTGGTTTGTGAGTGAATGGATGATAGGAGTTAGGCGAGCTGTGTTTGTCCTAGCTTCCGGTCACCGTGTAACAATTGTGGAAAAAAGTATGAAATTATTGAAATGAATACTAAATATTATCTGTAGAATAGTAATAATAGTTAAAAAGAACTCAGCCCAAAACACTTAATATGAATGTAAATTTCTCAGAAACGATTTTCTTTATTGTATTAGAGACATTATAAAAACAAACTCACTGAGAATATAACTGCCATAACATATCTTACTCTTTACATGAAAATGAAATGATCATAAGAGGTTACCTCATCCTGAATATTCCTCATAAGGTCACGGAGGTCCTCTTCAAGCGGGATGGTAGCATTGTTCCAGCGGGCGGCCTTCTGTAGGACACGGAGGGCACTGTCGTGTTGGCCGTTCACTATAAGCCAGCGAGGTGACTCGTCCATGAAGCTGTATAAAGAAGAAGGTCGCCGGGATAAGGTGGCTCGCCTATAGATTACTTTCTTTGACAGTAATTCTTTTTTATAATATCAAATGGCGTACAGACGTCATCATTTTGAGAACTGTGGGCAAGAAGAAGGACCAAAACAAATGGCGTGAAATCTGTTTGAAAGGGGTCGTGAAACCGTTATCATCGTCAAAGCTGCCAACACTTCACTTCAGTCTTCATTTTGCTACCGATCACAGTGTTGCTCATGAAGTGACTTGGTCAAGTGATACGATTCACTCTCGCATCAACGATATATTGTTCGATATCAAGAAACAAGTTATTACAGCTGTAAAAGCTACCGGTCAGTTTAGGCTTCAGATGGATGGAATAGCCCACCCGGGCACAGGTCATCGACCTACAACGGGGCCTAGGGGGGGGGGGATACGAGTAAAAATAAATTAAATATAGAAGAGAAAAAAGACTATATTAACCTACACCACGAAGATGCCGGAAAACCAGCGTTTTGAAGTGAGACAGATTGTGGGAGTATGGAAGAAGGCAGAGCATTTCACAGTTTGGCTGTGTGAGGAAAGAAGGATGTACTATAACGGGTTATTCTAGTGTGACCGACACCCACAGAGAAACGGTGGGCACCGCGGGCAAGACGAGTGGTACGAGCCCACGGCCTTTCCGGCGGTACACAGGATGCCAAATCCACTGAACATTGCCCGTTAAAGTACCTGTTAAAGAGAGTGAAGCAACGTTGCGGCGAAGAGAAAGGGAAGAGAGATTATCAACTAAAGGAGGAGAGTTAATAAGACGAATTGCCTTGGATTCCACCCTATCTAACAGTTGGACAGAAGAAGAGCCACCCCAGATATGAGAGGCTGTGACATTTTTGATACCCGGTATGGTGGATCACTTCTTCAAAGAAGAGATGACATAGATTCAATGTTACAGAATCTGCTGTGATGGAACACAATTTATGCTTTGGCTTTGCTTTGCTGCTCGTGTAAAGTAAGTGAATCTTATTATGTTAATTGTCTTCTTTGTCGTGAGAACCTTGCTTCAAAAAAGTTGTTGCATGAATTGGCTGTCATCATGAATGAGGGAGTTCAAGTGACGAACTTCGTCAAAGCAAGAGCGCCCAACTTGAGGCTGTTCAGGGACATGTGCTCAGGTTTAATTCCGAACACATCCACTTGCTATATCATTCGGAGGTCAGGTGGTATTCACGGAGAAAGATCCTGGAACGAACTATGGCCTGAGAACTGAGCTTGAAATATTTCTCGGCGAGAAGAAACATGGTTTGGGTGGAAAGTTCTGAGCCGAGAAAAAAATGCTCCAAGTGGTCTACCTAGAAGATTTATTTGGTGAAATTAACTGACTCAATACTTTCATGCATGGTCTAGGTCACACTTTCATAGAAGTCAGTGACAAGCTGTCCTCATTTAAGGGCAAACTGAAATTGTAAAAAGGGAAAATGGAGTGAGGAAAGACTGACAGTCATTTTCTTAGTCGTTCGGGAACTAGGCGAACACGTTCGGGAGCTAGGTGAACACGTTCGGGAGCTAGGTGAACACGTTCGGGAGCTAGGTGAACACGTTCGGGAGCTAGCTTTCCACACATGAATGGGTTTCTAAGACGCGTGGGAAGTTAGCTCCTGAACGTGTTCACTTTGTTCCCGAACGACTAAGAAAACGTCTGAACGTCTCCCATCCTTAAGCCACCCCCTGAAACTCTTTGAGGAAAAATGTCTTGGAGCACTTGAACAATATCAGAGAAGAATTTTAGCACTATATTTCTGCTGAAGTTACCAAGAAATATTGCTGGGTTCGAAATCCTTTAGATGTTTATGTGAAAGATTTGCCAGGCGATAGGGCACCAGGACTGCAGGAACAACTAAAAGAAATACAGTAAGATGAGTAACTGCGCCACAGCTTCAAGCAGAAGTCCCTCAGAATATACTTTCTGGATCACACTCTTCAATAAAAAGGCAGTCGTTGTTGCCCAAATTCTGAAAGCCCTTCTGCTATTCACGACAAAGACAGCTTTGAAAATGGCTGCAGTCTGAGCATGACTTACGCTGCAGCCTGTTTGCCACAACACTTCCCTTTGAAGGCTAAGACAAAACAAGGTCATCCCTCTCACTAGTTTGAGATGTATTATTTAAATTGTATGACATTATTTTATTGGATTATTAATTTGATTTATATTATATTGCATTGTATCATATTCAATTACTCTGATGGTTGTATATACTAACAAAATAAAGAAAAACATTATTTCTGTAATGATCTTATTCACTTGATACTGTAGATCCCGCAGCATGACTTACCGATATAGTTTTGGGTACCGAAGAAAGGTTTAAGAACCAATGATCTAAGGGGTCTAAGCTATCAAGTCAAGATTGGTAAAAAAACCCAACTCCGATTGACACCGTTAACTGACAACCGTGGGAAACGGTGCCAAATTATTGAGTTTATGGGCCTCAGGCTGAAGCTTTTGCGGCCCCCAATTATTTACAAAGAGCCAGAAGGCGTAATAAATGGAAAAAAATTATATTGATTATAATAAATGTAAAGTAGTTTAGAAATGAACGATCATTTCTATCATCAGCGGTTGATTTCGTAGACAACAACAGTCATTCTTGATTATTTATTGGCACATTAACCCATACAATACATTACTTAGTGTATTGCACACATTAAGCTTCCCGCATCATGTTAATCTGATCAATTATAAAGAATAAATAACCAAAAATCACTTGGGTACCAATCTTTAACCTTGCCCACGATATAACAAAAAAGTGATAGTTAAGACATAATCTATGGCTTCTTATCTTCAACTCTCCATAAAAAGTTTTATTCAACAGTGAAATTAAATGATACAGTTCATTATCTGTTACTCTAGTCTTACTCTGCTAGATTATTCGTTAACAACTTAAACTGTATATCAATTTCTTCTCAGCCTCGCTTAGGTTATGTTATATGGCTGAAAGTATTGTTTTGTCAGTTGCCTAAACCACCTAAACCAACCATGTACAGTTGGCTCCACTCCTTCGTTTACCACTTAGCGTTGTCAATCCTCTCTCTCCATGAGGTCTAAACCGCGAACACTGAACTCTGAATTCGAAGCATTCGCCCAATGAGCTGGACGGAGAGGGGGAGGGTGTGGCGAGGTAGGTGTCTTTCTGTGTGTGTGTGTGGGGGGTGGGGGGGGGGGCACCGGGGGTGAGGAAGGAAAGTGTACAGTTTATCTGTTGGGAAGGTTACAATGCAGAATAACGCTTTGACAATGCCGACGGGGTTTCCTTAGCTTGTGTCCATATATCTTCCTAATAGTGAGAACGCATCACATGGAAGCATCACTCGTCGGTGGCAAGGATTCAGGAGTGTTAGTCTTCATGAACAACAGCCACCGAGCCTTGACAGTAGTATATGTATCTTGAACCTTATAAAGTCCGCCAAAAAACTTTTCTTCATCCTTGAATGTTTCTTGGGTCCAGTCACCTTTTCCCAGGTTGTGAAGTAGCGCATCTCGTTGCTCAAAAATATATAGAGTATAAATGACTTGGAACACAGGATATTGCTTCATCCTTACTTATATTAAACCTGTTACAGAAACGTTGTTCTAGTATTGCTGGTCTAAGTTTCATTGCAACATGAACCATTTCCAGAAACCCGTCAACTGGGGGTTGATAAACAGCCATGGGGAGGCTTTCATTATTCTGCGTGGCCAAATTTTCAACGTGCACATGTCCAAATTTTGGTTGATACCAGTAATATTTGTCTGTCTTCAATAGGTTGGTATAGTGTCTTACTATGAAATCGTTCACACAAATGCAGGGTTTCAATTGTTTCTCTTATTTTGACAACACAACATTCATATATCGTTTCTCACTAAAGTATTGATCTTTATTTTAATTTTTGTATTTATTTATGGTCCTTTATTATTATCATCATCATCATCATCATCATCATTATTATTATTATTATTATTATTATTATTATTATTATTATTATTATTATTATTATTATTATTATTATTTCGCCCAAGGCCCTGATGTGGGTCACTGACCTGTGTCCTGGTGGGCTAATCCCGTAAAAGTCCGCGTGCTTTATTGGGCTAATGAAATATATATGGATCCTCGTATTTCGAAGCCCGATTTGGTAAAACGTTACTGACACCACCTACGTGATACGGGTAGTCCCCATTAGAGGTTCACGGCGCCATAAGCTCGTTGAACAGGCTTTGTGTGAAATATAACAGAGTCTAGGACTGCTTTTAGTATCCTGGTGGTCCAGAGGTAGCGTTCCCCGGTCACAGTCATGGGCTTGTGGGCCGTGGGTTCGAATCCTGGCTGGTTGCGGTGTTGATTGTATATATACATATATATTATTATTATTATTATCATTATTATTATTATTATTATTATTTGTATTATCATTATTATTATTATTATTATTATATTTTCACCCCCTTGCCCTGATGTGGGTCGTTGACCTGTGCCCTGGTGGGCTAATCCAGTAAAAATACAAAAAAAAACAAGAGCAACATGAACACTTTATTGACGTTCTGTTTACGCTTCTCTTCAAATGATGACCTTCAACTGTAGAAAGATTGAAGTATACTAATATAAGCTATTTTAACCAAGTCACAATAATGCCGCCAAACCTCTGACAGATCAAACACATAAGCTCTGTCTGCTGCAGAATTTAGTTCCCGAATGAGCCATTGCATTGCAACATCTGTAGTTTTGGTGTTCTCTTTGGTTCTAGTAAGGTCCCGCATGATTTTTTATAAAACAATTGTGATGGTATTTCCCCTCTGCAGCAATCAAATCAGAAATAACTTCGAGGTGTACACTTAGTTTAGAGCCATACTGAGATCCATGAAGGATCTATTGACTCATTTTAAAAGTCGATATAGATGACAGTTTTTGATAATAATTTTTCTGGAAAAAGCTGCATACCCCTCAGTTGAGTGGTATTAGTGAGTTTCTTAATCTACAGGGTGGTCTGTGGGACACCTTGGTTTCCTCGGAGATGATATTTCTGCCACAGACTTCACTCGTTGCAGCCTCATCTCCTTTCTTTATCCTAGATAAGTTTGATTTACTCGTTATATTTCCATAGCAAGATTTGTATCATTTTACTGATCCTAGTTCTGATTCACTCAAAGCTAAAACTATATCTATGACTGACTTGTTCTTTGCATCTCGACGTTGCTGTCTTAACTGTGTGGACTGTTATAACTTCTTGAATCCTTGTTCACTTGTACCCAGTCATGATGTCATGGGTTGCGTTAGGCTTACCCACACAACCAACTACAAAGTTTGTTTTACGAGAGATAAGGCACCCGGCGAGCCATGACTAAGACATATTTTTTCCATTAGTGGTATGTTAGCCAGTCCATAGGGGGAGGCCATTGAGACAGTGTTGTACTGTTCATCGCCTCACGCCCCAAAACTACATTTTGAGTAGTATCCCCTAGGGCCTAGGCCATGGGTTAGTTAAGACGTCATCCCCACCCTCTCCTTCCTGAAGGGAACGGGACACCACACAGAGTCCTCCACCACCACCCCGTCCTGTGGACCGTCAGTAACACGAGACTAAGTGTGCTAACCTAGGTTGTTATCCCCATGGAAATATCACATGTGGATGCTTGGTTGCGACAAGAGCAATCCAGGCTGGCCTATCAAACCTACAGTAAATGGTTAATCAAGTCACGCTTACAGAGTTCTCCTGCGCGACACCTGTCTACAGTGACCGTGATCGACACTAGATTAAGTGTGTTAACCTAGGTTGTTATCCCCTTGGAAAAATCACGTGTGGAAGCCTGGTTGCGACAAAAGCAATCCAGGCTGGTCTATTGCACCTAAGTGGTTAATCAAGTCACGCTTACCAGTTCTCATTGCCGCGACAACCGTCTACAGTGACTGTCAGTGACGCTAGACTATGTGTGGTAACCCAAGGTTACCTTTTTGTTGTTATTCCCCGTGGAAAGAAGTTCTTGTGCGGAAGCCTGGTTGCAACAGGAGCAATCCAGGCTGGCAGTAAATGTATCACTTGAAGAATTAAGGCTCTGTTAAGACATACCCATAGTAGAGTAATCACATGTGTCCCCAAGTTGAAAATTCTCTCTTTTAGAAGATTAATTTTATTACAGCGTGAATGTGAGTGACTCATATATCCATGCAAATTGTAAATCATTGCATGGAAACTTGCCAAATAAATGCAAGTGCAATTATCTGCCCGTATCTGTGATCCTATCTTATTATTACTAAAGGTAATGACTGATTGGTTATGACAAAGTATAACCAATAACGTAGATGGATGATGGAAATTAATGGAACTCATTAAATCATCATTTATTAAGTATAAATCATAGAATGTCGGGTGGTGGAGTGAATTTCTACGTAGATACATCATAATCTCCTGTAAGTAACCAGTGTGAAGGTATCGAACTCTACGGTAAGAAATATAAGAAACACAATATATTATAATCTTTATATAATATACTCCGCAGTTAGACCATTACAATGAAAAACCATGACACCTGACCACTGGCTTTATGTCGTATTTCATTTACGGTGTTTACAGTGTGAAATATGAACTCCTTGACGCTCAAAACCAAGGAAACGACACCAAAACTATTGTTCTAGCTTGTTTACACGTTGAAATATAGTAAATCTTATACTGCAGTGGTGATTACGGCGGTCATCTTGCTTTCCGCGATTTAAAGAGTTAAGACTGGTCTGACAATGCGACAGACACCAAATTTGGATTCAGCACACTCCGATTAGGGGTGAGAGGTGGTCTGTCTACCTTTCCTCAAAAGTGGCTCCAGAAGTATACAGTCTTATCACCGATGATCTTCTTGGCCACTATCACTATGGCTGTTGATATCGTCCTCGTCATTTGATAATAACTTCATGTGTTTCGAGCCTGTTTCTTGACGAGTAAGGTCTGATTCAAATCTATCACATAACTTTTGAATCAACAATCTACGTGAAGAGAATTGACCTCCATATGAAACATACATTTCCTCAATCTCAACAGCATTCCAGATACGTGACTGCTCACTCAGAATACAGTTCACCATTACTTGATAAAATTCACGTTCTTCTGATGCAGTGACACCTGAAGAGGACCTGATATTACGTCTGAAAGGTGAAGTGCAGTCCTTATGGTACTGGGTATCGGCTGCATGGAGGTCACTGACAGCTGTTTTGACGCTCAGCCTGACTTTAGCTGCCCAGTCACGGTCCGACTAATTACCCAAATGTACCCAAATGTAGCCGCAATTAAGTCAAATAATGGTCGTACAAGCGTAAATCGGGCTGTGAATCACTTCTCGATTATTATTTGGTGTCATAAAGTCACAAAAAAATTAATAAACTTAATTTAATCTGAGTTGTGTTGTGTTAGGTTAAGTTAGATTAGATTAGGTTAGGTACATGCACTTGATCTATTAACTCAGAATAAATTAAGTTTACCAATTGTTTGTGACTTCGTGACACCAAATACTAGTCGAGGTTAGGTTAGGTTCGGTACATGCACTCGATCTATTAACTCAAATAAATTACGTTTTCCATTTTTTTTTTACTTTGTGACACCAAATACTAGTCGAGAATAGATTGGTAACCTGATTTATTCATGTAGGACCATTATTTGACTTCATTGCGGCTACATTTGGGTTAATCTGGCTTTGGCTGTTTAGCACTCCCTCGGGCCAGAATACCACATCTTTGGTGTCACCTGCTGAAACTGTATATCAAAGTGCACAAAATAATATGACTTTTTAAACTAATACTTCCTTATAATTCTTCTTCTTATTATCATTATGATTACTTCTCATAAATCCTTATTATTATCTTATTACATTGTAATTTCCTCAACTTTAGCCACCCAGGGGGAACACCTGAACTTTAGCCACCCAAGGGGAACACCTGAACTTTAGCCACCTAGGGGGAATACCTGAACTTTAGCCACCCAGGGGGAACACCTGAACTTTAAACACCCCGGGGAGCAATTGAATTTTACCTTCCCCTTCGATCAAGTGAACTTTAGGCACCCTGGCGATTAAACTGAACTTTTGGCACCTCGGGTGGATCAATTGAACTTTAGGCACTCCGATGGATGAAGTGAACCTTAGGCACCTGGGGGTGATCAACTGAACTTTAAGTTGCGTTGGGATAGGTTGGGTTGGGTTGGGGTAAGTTAAGTTAGTTTAGGGTATACTGGGATAGGTTGGGCCACTCTAAGGCGTCTCATCGAGGGAATAATAAAAATCAGTAATAATAATGATATGTAATAATAATTATAAGGAAATAATAAATTGGGAAGTAATATTAGTAAGTACAATTTAAATAAATTTTCAGCAGTGACACTGAAGAGGGTGTACTGTATTCTGGCCTGGGGGAGGGTAAAACAGCCCAAGCCAGCTTATACCCGGGGTGTAAAGTGGCCAAGGAGTTAAGCTGGCCTGTTACACCTGTTAATACCTGGCAATCTTGGCCAATATATGCAATTATAAGCACAGTTATGTGCATTTAGAGTTAGAATATTTACATCTGTTTTGTCACATACGTAAAATATCTTAATGTATTATCTAACCAACCGTGTCTTAGCTAACTCTTACCTTAACCTAAACTTAATCTATTCCTAACCTGAAAATACATGAAAGTAATACTAGATTAAGGTTAAGCTAGGTAATGTTTGGTTAGATTATTTCGTATTTGTAAACAAAATGGATGTAAATATTGTATTCAGTAGTCCCCAAAACCATGGATATGAACTTTTCATGTACCCTAAACCGTTGCTCACAGCCTTATAGTAAGCTGTGCTTTTGCTGTGGCTCGCCTATAAAAAAATAACACAACCTAAACCGTCACGATTTAGAAGGATTATACAGTAGTTCTCTGTCTATAATCCTTCGTCAATTGTCGTCCGATTTTCATGTTGCAGTGTGCTATATGAAATATGATTCCTGAAGCTATTTATCACAGTAGCAAGCTGATAACTTTATAATACTGCTAAAATTCGTGAGCTAGCCCGACCTGAGTATAAATCTTAATGTTGGAGCTTCATGCACTGAAATGGGGCGCTGTGCCTTCCTGCCCACAGTTTCTGAAGGTAAACAAACTGTCACGTGAAGCGTTCTAATACTGATGTTGCACATAATTTTTTCGCAGTAATTTGAAAACGAGATGATCAGTCTTTAGTACAGTACTTAACAACTACAGTTATAATCAATGTGTTTACCATCATTCACAGTCATTTTAGAAAAATTTAACATATTTTATTATCAGATTTTGACATTCACCAAACCATGATTACCCAGACAACTCATATGTTACTCACTATAGGGGAAAGAAGTTGAGAACTGTGGGGAGAGACACGGCAGCCTGCAACCACCGCCAGTCACGAATTAGGTAAGCCATGGCACCCCACGCCATCGTGCCCAGTGCCCACGGTAAGCCTGTTAGGATGCCCACTGTGCCCCGATGCTTTGGCTCGCACACTTCCAACGCTGACAAAATAACACATTGTACAAATTACTGGATATATTTGAGGCAAGATACTATATAACTTTTCAAGAAATCATTTGAACTAATGAAAGTGTGGAAGACACACTCACACACAAGTTGGTAACGGGTAAAAACAAGATAGGGGAACAAGGTTTTCCTTGTTTGAGGACTGGCCAATGGATTTGTAGTTAGTTAATGTGACAGACAATTACGCCCACGTGAAAAAAAAGTGTTTTAGTTGCATTACAACTGATACATCTCACCATGGATAAAAAGAGAATAGCTTAACGAAAAATTACTACAGCTTTGGTTGGGATGAAGACCCACTGCTGAATTCTCGTTCAAATAGGCCAAGATCTTCTTAAGCTCACCTGCAGGGAGTGTTATGAGAAATTATTGCATATATAATAAATAAGTACTTAGATTGGCTAAAGCAGAGAGAAATATAGAGGATTTAAATAATACGAAAAATACGATACTTTGAATAGGTACAGTAATTTGGGATGAAGAAAAAACAGCGGAAATAATGATCGGTGAAATTGAAGGTAGGAGGGACAGGGGAGGGGGAATGGGATCAACGAATGCAATTAAAAGTTTGATCCACGGAGACATAAAATCTGGGAGGGTTGATAATGACAAAATGAAAACGTTGGATCAGAGATCCCTGGTTGCCCACCCTCAGACATGAGGAGGACTTTGTTACTAAGTAACAACTGATTGCCTAGAGGAAGGAACTGTGGGTCTTGTCGAAAAGCAAAATATGTCATTAATATTAGTATAGAACACTGCCACCTTCTACACAATATTTATTTTCCCACTGATGACAAACTATTATGACGTAGCCTCGATAGCAGCAAATCGCCTCTCCTGACCAAGAACATTAAGAAGGTAAAAAGTTGCTTAAATCCACGAAAGAAACAGAATACAATAATGGTAAAAAGGTTGACAGAAGATGAGGAGGTTGTCAGTACTAGCCACGCATAAGAAAAATCGGGAAGGCTGCAATCACTAACCAAGGATGAAGAAGGTGAGGAGGTTGACGGATCCCATGATGAAGCGGACGATGAGGATGGCGATGAAGTTGGTGAGGAAACAGAGGCTTAGCGAGGTCAGTGCTGTCACCACCTGTGTCACCACCAACACGATTTTCCGCCCAAACCTTAGGAAGGAGCGTTATAGGATATGGTTTAAGAAAATTAATATTTAAGTCTCACAAGATGTCTATTGATCACGCCACGCCAACGTAAAAGTTGATCTAGGGTGAGAAGTGAGTTACTTTTACTTAAAGATTTTAAATTTCAAATACTTTAACTATTATATCAGTAAATTTATGGGTAGAATATCCTACCTTTAAGAACATTAGAACTAATAATGGATGAAATTGCAGCAGGCCTATTGGCCTTTAAACAATTTTCATTTACAATTACAATTACTCCATAAAAGTCCAATTACGTTATAATTACAATTACTCTTCCTAATTTTCAATTACAATTACTGTATTTTTTGTCTTAAATGGTTGTAACTGCTTACTGCTTGAAACAGTTATTTATGAAGAAATTCCCGCACCTACAGTGATTTATTTGCATATGTATATATATATATATATATATATATATGTATATATATATATATATATATATATATATATATATATATATATATATATATATATATATATATATATATATATATATATTTTGATAAAATCACACGGGAAAATGGAAACAACGGAGTACCTTAGCTTTCGTCTTTATTCAAGACATCTTCAGAGGCAACTGGATTACATGGACAGAGAGAGGCTTAAATATACAGGGTGACCTAAAAACATGAGGTCAGGTCATAATGATGACATCCACTAATCCCCACACCAACACACACGTAGAGGAGCTTAAGAGAAGGGTGGTGACGTGACTAGACAGGTCAGGTCAGAAAAAAGGGACCCACAAAATAACTATCATACATCAAGATCAAAGGTTTTCAAAGCATTTTAACCTTGGGCCACTGACAAATAAATTTATGTAACATATTATCAGTTTTGAACTGACCATCACTAAGGTTTATTGATTTTAATTCCTTAATCAAACTAGCTTCAACCAGAAGTCTTTCTGTGACACAAGATGATTTGAATACTTCTAAGTTTTTTTCCCAAGCAATGGGGTGATTATTATTCCTAACATGAACGAACAAGGCACTGCTTTCAGATGCAGTTCTGATATTATACTTATGTTGTTTGATTCTGAGCTGCAGTGTTTTTCCTGTCTGACCTACATAATTACAATTACATTTGCTACATGGAATAAAATAAACACTTCCATTTACATTCAAACTTGGGCTATTCCTTATTAACATATTGGTAATGGTTGAGTCATACTTGAAAACAACATTAATATTTAGAAGCTTGAGGGACCGAACTAACGGGACAAATTCATTACGATAGGGCAGAGTCAAAATATTCTTTAGTGTAGGAACTTGTCTGGTTTGAGAGGAATGAAAGGATTTTTTAGCCCTTATAAAACAACGATCAACAAACACAGAAGGGTACCCAAGTTTCTGTGCAATAGAACGAATGTGTTTCAATTCATCGTCAATAAATTCAGAGTCACAAATACGCAGACATCTTAGGAACATAGCAGAAAAAACTGACATTTTGGTAGACTCAAGGTGATTCGATAAAAAGTGAATGAAACTGTCTACCTGTGTGGGCTTTCTATATACCTTAAATTTATAGTTTTGGCCATTTTTCATGATAAGCATATCAAGAAATGGAAGGGATTCATTTATTTCTCTTTCAATTTTGAATGTGATACTAGGGACAATATTATTAAGCTTGTCTAAAAATTCCAAAGGGTCACTGTTTTTAGGCCAAAGACAAAGAACATCATCTACATATCTTTACCATGGAGGAATAAAGTCCACTATATTGGGTAGTAATCTAGACTCAAAAAACTCCATATAAATACAGGCTAGAGGGTAATTGTCTTTCTGCTCCTCTAGCCTGTATTTATATGGAGTTTTTTGAGTCTAGATTACTACCCAATATAGTGGACTTTATTCCTCCTTGGTATAGATATGTAGATGATGTTCTTTGTCTTTGGCCTAAAAACAGTGACCCTTTGGAATTTTTAGACATCAAAGTAATAAATGTAAAACAGATAGAAACGGAAGAAATATATTGAGTGTTTATTATACTAATAGTAGAAGCCTGTGTAACAAGATGGACCAGCTCAGGGCCATTGTTAGTAAAGAGAACATAGATATAATTGCAATAACGGAAACATGGATAAATTCAAACAGCAAGCATTTTTTAGCAGGTAGTAGGAAGGAGAGGTGGCGGTGTAGCAGTGTATATCAGGTGTCATTAAAAAGCTGCAATAAATCAAACATTAAAACAAATAGCGACAATGAAAGTATTTGGGTAGAGATTGGTGAGGGCAGTGAATCCGTAGTCATTGGTGTTATATATAGACCACCTAATTTGAGTAGGAACGATGGTAAATTGCTATGGGAGGAAATAAAGAAGGCATCTGATAGAAACAATGTATGTATTCTAGGCGATTTCAACTTTTCAGGCATAGATTGGAAAAATCAACTTAGCGATAATGAATCTGAAGATTTTCTAGAAGTAGTACAAGATAGTTTTTTATATCAATTCATAAACTCGCCCACTAGAGGAAATAATATCCTCGATTTAGTTCTCAGTAATAATGAAAATCTAGTAAAAGATGTTGGGATTGGAGACGAACTAGGAAACAGTGATCATAAAGCCATATATTTTAACATAATATGGGATGGCAGGAAGAAGGAAAATTCGGCCTTGATCCCGGATTTTAGGAAGGCTAATTACGGTAGCTTAAGGAGAGACCTAAGGGATGACCCTATGGTCAAAAGATTAATCCCCCCACACCTCCGGAAACTGTCAACTTAGGACGGGATAACCCCGAATTTAATTTAGCAGCTACTTATGAACAATTTATTGCGACAATCAATAATGCCCAAAATAAACACATCCCTAAAAGAAAATTCAGATCGATACGGAACCAACCAAAATGGATGAATAATAGACTCTTAGATCTTCTAGGGAAAAAGAAAGGAGTATATAGAAAAGTTAAGAAAGGCGAAAATCACTTACTTGGTTACTATCAGAACTAACAAGACAGGTAAAAACAGAAATTAGGAAAGCAAAGAGAAATTATGAAATCAAGGTAGCAAACGAATCGAAAAATAACCCCAAAGCTTTTTATCAACTGTATAAATCAAAGGTTAGAGATACAATAGGTCCCCTTAAAACTACGACAGGAGAAATGACTGATGACGAGTTAGAAATGTGTAGTACGTTAAATAGTCATTTCCGCTCCGTATTCACAAATGAAAACCTAGCACAGTTTCCAGAAGTTCATAAGGTATATAACGACAGTATAGAAAATATGTTGATGAACATCAATATTACTAGAAACGATGTGCTTAAAGTAATTAACAAACTGAAGCCTCATAAATCGCCTGGTCCAGACGAGGTATATGCTAGAATATTAAAAGAATGTAGAGATGAGTTGAGTAATCCATTAGCAGTTTTATTTAATAAGTCATTAGAATCGGGCCTAGTGCCAGAAGCTTGGAAACTTGCAAATGTAGTTCCGATTTTCAAAAAGGGTGATAAATCAATTGCATCAAATTACCGTCCCATTAGTCTCACGTCAATCATAGGCAAGTTGCTAGAGTCAATTATTGCTACAAAAATCAGAAGCCACCTTGAAACATTCAACTTAATTCATTCTTCTCAGCACGGGTTCACCCAGGGACGTTCTTGTCTCACAAATTTGCTTAGCTTTTTCTCAGAAGTATATGAAGCGGTAGATAATGATAAGTCATATGATATAATTTTATTTAGATTTCAGTAAAAAGGATTCGATAGGAGTCCTCATAAAGTTGATAAGGAAGGTAGAAGCACATGGAATAGGTGGATCAGTATTAAAATGGATTAGTTCATGGTTAACTGGTAGGAAACAAAGAGTCAGCATAAATGGATTAAAGTCAGACTGGGGTGCGGTCAAAAGCGGAGTTCCCCAGGGATCTGTATTAGGCCCTCTGCTGTTTGTTATATTCATTAATGATCTTGATTTAGGCATAACTAGTAGGATTAGTAAATTTGCAGATGATACCAAAATGGGGAGAGTGATGAATTCAGACAGTGACTTTGAACACCTTCAAAGAGATCTAGATACCTTACATGAGTGGTCAGTAGACTGGCAAATGAATTTTAATACTAATAAATGCAAGGTACTACAGATAGGGAAGTCGAATACAAACGTTAGGTATAAACTAGGTAACACGGAAATAGAAAACTCAGTTTGTGAAAAAGATCTAGGTGTATTTGTTAGCAACGACTTGAAACCTAGAAAACAATGTATTAGCGTTCGCAACAAGGCAAACAGGATTCTTGGGTTCATATCTAGGAGTGTGAGTAACAGAACTGCTGACGTTATCTTGAAACTTTACCTAGCATTAGTGAGGCCACACATGGATTATGCGGTTCAGTTCTGGTGTCCTTATTATAGAGATGGACATAGATTCTTTGGAAGAGTGATACAAGAAGAATGACAAAAATGATCCATAATATTAGAAACCTTCCATATGAAGAAAGACTGAAAAGCTTAGGCTTACATTCATTAGAGAGGCGTAGGGTTAGGGGAGATATGATAGAGGTGTACAAGTGGGTAAGAGGGATTAACAAGGGTAAAATGGAAGATGTTCTGAAGCTCAGTAATAACGAAATAACTAGAACAAATGGCTTTAAATTAGATAAATTCCGATTCAGAAAGGATATAGGCAAGCACTGGTTTGGTAATACAGTTGTGGATATGTGGAATAGGCTACCGAGTGCTATAGTAGGATCGGGGACGCTAGTGAGCTTCAAGACGAAGTTGGATAGGCACATGGAAGTGCTGGGATGGGTGTGAAAGGGATCTGCCCTGTATGGGCCAGTCGGCCTCCTGCAGTATCCCACTTTCTTATGTTCTTATGTTCTTATCAACGGCAGTCTCAAACGGCAGTCAATCTCTCGCAGTCAAGTGGGTTCTGATGGAAACCCTGAAATTAACTCACTGTTAGCTCTTCATAACTTTATCACTGCCCTATCTAACCCCTATCTGAGATCGAATGAGACTTTTGTTATACTGCAATAGCG